GTCCGGGGGTGTGGGCTGTCCCCGTGTGTGGTTGCAGGTTGTTTTTTTGGCGTGGAGAGGGCATGCACTAGAGGTGTGTATGTTCTGGGGGGCTACAGAGGGGTGTGATCAGTGGGAGTGGCACTTCCCTCTTTTGGACAGTCCAGCCATTCAGTTTACTAAATCCCCTGCAAGGGTTAAACCCACAGACAGTCGGTCCTAATGGAGGTAAAGAGTCTCCTGGTGTGGTTGCAGGGTGTTTTTTTGGCGTGGAGAGGGCATGCACTAGAGGTGTGTATGTTCTGGGGGGCTACAGAGGGGTGTGATCAGTGGGAGTGGCACTTCCCTCTTTTGGACAGTCCAGCCATTCAGTTTACTAAATCCCCTGCAAGGGTTAAACCCACAGACAGTCGGTCCTAATGGAGGTAAAGAGTCTCCTGGAATGCTAGGGAGGCAGACAGCAAGCAGAAAGGAAGCCAGGAGAGCCAGTGAACACAGAGTGAGGAGTTTCAAATTGGGAGAGATGATCTTCTTGTTCCAGTCTGTGTGTGATCAGGGCAGAGCTGGTGGACATGAGCTGAGCCAGGGAGCAAGGTATGGACTATCCAGAAATAGTCATGCCTTGGGAAGGATTAAACCTTGGAACAGCAGATCCATGAGTAGAACAGGGAATGTTTACTCAGATGTGACCCGATTATTTTCTTTATTTTTGAGTTTTTTGGACTTCTGTGTGTGGGGCACATAACCACCCTCTTACACTGTGACTTTTAAACTCAATCCCAGGGAAAAACTGTGTTTTTCTTTTTTCAGTTGCTCTGTAACATCTAGCAACCAAGAAATGTTTGCCAATTGTGTTTTCTTTGTTTTGCTAATAAAATTCACTTAAGACTATGATCTGATTCATGTCTTATAAAAGGCAGGAGTTTCTGTGTGCAGGTTCCTAAGACTGCAAAGCCAGATATTAAGAAATTACAAGGGCTTTATTTTTAAGCTCTCTTCAGAGACAAGGTTAAAGTGCTTGAGGGTACCCTACAGGAAGAAATATCCAAATGCGTCGTCTTGGGTTCTCTAAAGGGTTTTTGCATTTGGGAGGTGACAGCAATACCAGTCCAAGGCCAGGAAATCTGTGACTTTGGGGAGTTTTTAAACAGAATCCTTATGGGCAGGGTATTTTAAGTCTCTTGCGAGCCCCCATTCTGTACTCAAAGTGCCAGATAGAGGATATGGGGGGGGGTGAACATGTATGCGTGTGTTTATAGGGGGATGTACTTGCATATGTATGGGGAAGGTATTGGAGGGTAGGAGTTGTGTACTGGAGAGGAAGGTACCTATAACCTCTTTCTCAAGGTGGGGGAGGGTCACTTCCTGTCATGGTGGTAGGGGTCTGACACAGACTTGGGACTCAGCACCAGCCCATCAGTCAGTACCTCCCCTTGGGCCTTTCCTTCAACCCTGGGTGAGGAGCCACAGCCAGGCATGACCCTGGTGGGGCAAGGTGCTCAGTTTGGCCAGGCAGGATCCAACAGCTGTGGACACAGGGAAGGGATCAGTTAGGGCCTGGAGGCAAAAGGCCATAACCAGAACAGGGCAGTCGCCCAGCGGGCAGAAGTGTGGAGACAGATGACAAGAGACCCAACCGCAGAGGGTGCAAGTATGTTTGCTTACCCCTAGTGGAGAAGAACTGAGTTGCAGCTGTCATTCTGATCTGCAACGAGCAAGGAAAAATCCCAGATATATCTTTGTTTCAAAAATCCATGCGGATGGAGATTGGAGCACCGCAAAAGAGGTCATATCCAAGAAAACCTGGCTGTACAGTAACTCTATGCTTCATTGACCCCCACCCACTCTCTATAGGCTGCGGCCCTGGTGGAAGAAGAGACTAGACGCTACCGGCCCACCAAGAATTACCTCAGCTATCTGCCCACACCTGACTACAGCGCCTTTGAGGTGAGCCAGAGTGGACATATGGGGAAGTGCTGTGGATAGAGTGATAGCCTCTGCAGACAGCTGCAGGTGGGGGAGGAGGAAGAGTCAGGTCCTGAAATCTAATTACAGGGTCTTGCTGGGAGGCTGTTACAGCAAGAGACTGGCTGTAGATTTACAGTGGGGATAAGGCACAAAGAGAACTGTTGCTGCTTATGTAGGCAGGGCTCTAGTCTCTCCTGCCCTTTATGGGGGTAGGAATGGTGGTCCTTCCTTGCCCTGGTCTGGCTGTAGGTAACTTTCTGCTCTGCACCCACAGACTGAAATTATGCGGAATGAGTTTGAACGCTTGGCAGCCCGGCAACCCATAGAGCTCCTCAGCATGAAAAGGTGAGTGAGAGTCTGCACCAGCATTGTCTATGAACTGAGTGGGCGAAGCCTGATTTGGATGGGACCATTCACTGCTGACAAGTGCTGTATATTGCACGAGTCTTAGGCCAGATCCACAATAGACACCCCTGAACGACTTAGTGATAGCTACATAATCCCTGCCTGTTGGGAGGTGGATTGACTACATTGAAGGGAGAATCTCTCTCATTGGCATGGGAGTGTCTTTACTGAAGCAATACAGTGATGCGGCTGTATCCAGACCACCTAAAACATACACAATGACCTTTTCTGAAAAGGATAGAGAAGCCAAAATCACTACTTTTTCTTTAGATGATATATCCATGGAGCCTCAGATTTCTTAGAATGTTGTGACAGCTATAAGCTCTCTTTATTGGAAACTCTGGATTTCCAAAGAGTTGAGACACTGTGGGCTGCCAACCCTGAAGTCTCAGCAGTCTTTCCCATTGTATAGCTCAGCCTGGCTCTATTGAATATATTGCCAGTTTGAAACAGAAAGGTACTGTTTTATTTCTAGCAGTAACAGGCTATATTTCATTCATTACAGTCATTTTGACAAGTACCTTCACTTTGTATTGTTTCTAACTAAATTAAAGTGGACTACAAGACTCCTTGTATTTTCTCTGTCTTGATGACTGGTTCTGGATAGAGATGTAAAAGTTTAACCGATGAATCAATAAGCTAATGCTTGTGTGTTCCTGTTAATGGTTAAACTCTGCTTGGGAGCTCAGGGCTGTGAGCTGGCTGCATGTGGGCAACCAGCAGCCTTTCCTCCCTCCCCCTATATGCCCAGGTAACGCGTTTAACCGTGTAAACATAGAATTTTGATCAGTTACACGGTTACTATTTTTATACTTTTTACAACACTAGTTCTGAACATGACTCTAGTCTCTGGTAAATGGGGAACCAAAGACAACTAGATAACTTCCCATCTTCAGTTAATATGAAGTTGTTTTTATAGAAAACCTGTTTCAACTGTAATTATACTGCAGGGTTTATTTAAAGCATGTACTCATGCCTTTCAAAAGAATAAAAGGGGTGACGGTTGGGGGTCTGCATTGTTAGTGCAGAAATTGTCAGCGCCTTGCAGCAGCTTCTTGATAATGATCTTCTCCTGGAAAAAGAGTTTCCATTGGTTTACTGTGGGTCTGTCTAAACTACAATTGACACTTTATTGACTGACTGAGGTTGGGCTGTAAAACTGCTGTGTAGCCATTTGGGCTTAAGCTAGAACCCAAGCTCCAGGACTCTCCCTCCTTATAGGGTACCACAATTTTAAAGTTATATAACCCAAGTCAGCTGACATGGCCAGGCGTGGGTGTTTAATTGTAGGATATTTATAGTTTGACATCAGGAGCTGCCTGGGTTAAGAAATGTTGCTGTAGAAAATTATAAAATCTCATTTCAGCAGAGATGACTGATAAGAAAGTAGGTATTTCTAACATGCCTGTAATTCTCAGGTAGAGACATTTGAAATCTTAATAATTGAGGAAATAAAAGATTTTCTGTATCCAGAATATATTAAAGGCTAGTTTTGAGTTGATGGCTTTCTCTGCATCAGGTTTGAGCCTTGGTCAGAATTTGAGCTTCTGAGCAAACCCGACTCCAGAAGGTCTAAATGCATGACCCTAATTGTAGTGGTCTTTACCCCACCCCCCACATTGTTTAAAAACAATTTTTTCTGGTTGGCTTTATTTCAGGTATGAGCTGCCTGCTCCCTCCTCTGGTCAGAAGAATGATATCACAGCGTGGCAGGAATGTGTCAATAACTCAATGGCTCAGCTAGAGCATCAGGCTGTTCGGATTGAGAATCTGGAGTTAATGTCCCAGCATGGCTGCAATGCTTGGAAAGTGTATAACGAGTAAGCAGTCCCTTCTTCTGAAAATGTTGGATAAAAGTGTCGATTTGCAGTAGGGATCTGAATGCTTAACTGGTAAGCCTCACCCTTAATGGTTCTGGTTAACCGGTGGGGGCTGGAGCAGCTGCCTGTCTGTGGAGCCCAGATGGAGCAGCACCTGTCTGGGTTTGGATGGGCACTCCAGCCCAACTGGCTTGGAGAGGTCTCCCCGCCCAGCTCCTCTTTACTTGGTTAGCCAGTTACACAGGATTTTACATCTGTAATTTGCAGTTCTGCAGATATTTTACATATGAGTTCTGCTTCAAAATAATCAAATTGTAGTGAAATGTCACGTACAACTTTAGAACCTCTCTTGGAGCCAAGGTAGAATTTCTCTGGTCAGGCTTCAGAGGGGTAGCCGTGTTAGTCTGAATCTGCAAAAGCGGCGAGGAGTCCTGTGGCACCTTATAGACTAACTGAAGTGTAGGAGCATAAGCTTTTGTGGGCAAAGCCCCACTTCGTCAGATGCATGCATCTGACGAAGTGGGGCTTTGCCCACAAAAGCTTATGCTCCTACACTTCAGTTAGTCTATAAGGTGCCACAGGACTCCTCGCCGCTTTTGCAGATTCAGACTAACACGGCTACCCCTCTGAAGCCTGACCAGAGAAATTCTACCTTGGCTCCAAGAGAGGTTCTAAAGTTGTACGTGACATTTCACTACAATTTGATTATTTTGAAGCAGAACTCATATGTAAAATATCTGCAGAACTGCAAATTACAGATGTAAAATCCTGTGTAACTGGCTAACCAAGTAAAGAGGAGCTGGGCGGGGAGACCTCTCCAAGCCAGTTGGGCTGGAGTGCCCATCCAAACCCAGACAGGTGCTGCTCCATCTGGGCTCCACAGACAGGCAGCTGCTCCAGCCCCCACCGGTTAACCAGAACCATTAAGGGTGAGGCTTACCAGTTAAGCATTCAGATCCCTACTGCAAATCGACACTTTTATCCAACATTTTCAGAAGAAGGGACTGCTTACTCGTTATACACTTTCCAAGCATTGCAGCCATGCTGGGACATTAACTCCAGATTCTCAATCCGAACAGCCTGATGCTCTAGCTGAGCCATTGAGTTATTGACACATTCCTGCCACGCTGTGATATCATTCTTCTGACCAGAGGAGGGAGCAGGCAGCTCATACCTGAAATAAAGCCAACCAGAAAAAATTGTTTTTAAACAATGTGGGGGGTGGGGTAAAGACCACTACAATTAGGGTCATGCATTTAGACCTTCTGGAGTCGGGTTTGCTCAGAAGCTCAAATTCTGACCAAGGCTCAAACCTGATGCAGAGAAAGCCATCAACTCAAAACTAGCCTTTAATATATTCTGGATACAGAAAATCTTTTATTTCCTCAATTATTAAGATTTCAAATGTCTCTACCTGAGAATTACAGGCATGTTAGAAATACCTACTTTCTTATCAGTCATCTCTGCTGAAATGAGATTTTATAATTTTCTACAGCAACATTTCTTAACCCAGGCAGCTCCTGATGTCAAACTATAAATATCCTACAATTAAACACCCACGCCTGGCCATGTCAGCTGACTTGGGTTATATAACTTTAAAATTGTGGTACCCTATAAGGAGGGAGAGTCCTGGAGCTTGGGTTCTAGCTTAAGCCCAAATGGCTACACAGCAGTTTTACAGCCCAACCTCAGTCAGTCAATAAAGTGTCAATTGTAGTTTAGACAGACCCACAGTAAACCAATGGAAACTCTTTTTCCAGGAGAAGATCATTATCAAGAAGCTGCTGCAAGGCGCTGACAATTTCTGCACTAACAATGCAGACCCCCAACCGTCACCCCTTTTATTCTTTTGAAAGGCATGAGTACATGCTTTAAATAAACCCTGCAGTATAATTACAGTTGAAACAGGTTTTCTATAAAAACAACTTCATATTAACTGAAGATGGGAAGTTATCTAGTTGTCTTTGGTTCCCCATTTACCAGAGACTAGAGTCATGTTCAGAACTAGTGTTGTAAAAAGTATAAAAATAGTAACCGTGTAACTGATCAAAATTCTATGTTTACACGGTTACCTGGTGTTGGCCAGAGTGGCCACCAGGGCAAGCTGGGGAGGGCTAGCCTCCCACTACTTCAAATTAAGGGGCTGCACAGCCCTTAATTCGAACTAGTAAGTTCGAACTAGGCTTAGTCCTCGTGGAATGAGGTCTACCTAGTTCGAAGTAAGCGCTCCGCTAGTTCCAATTAAGTTCGAACTAACGGAGCGCTTGTGTAGCGCCTATCAAAGTTCATTCGAACTAACGTCCGTTAGTTCGAATTAACTTTGTAGTGTAGACATACCCTAAGGTGCCACAGGACTCCTCGCCGCTTCTGGTCAGGCTGTGTGCTGACTGGGGTGGAAGTGAACTCGCTCCATATTTCCTATCCAGGCCACAGAAGTCATTGCATAACCTGCTGTAGAAACCCTGTTTTTGTTACAACCCTCTCTCTACTAGAGAATACTCTACTAAAGAATAATCTAGTGGAGCTGTATGCCTACCTACCAGTCATGTCCCATATTCCAGTCTCTCCCACTGTTCCAAATACATTGAGGCCTAGGGAGCCCAACAGAAGACAGCTGCATCATGTGCAGGTTTTATGTCCCTCTGTTCCAGGTCCCCAGATCTTGCTGCTCCTCCTGCAGAGGAAGTTTAGTTGTACCAGATAGACTGGAGGATGGTGGGCAGGATTTTAGCCTTTACAGTGAAATCTGTCTTGAGTGACTATCAAGGGAACCAGCCAGAATCTGTTTTCTCATAGATTTTCAAACTTATTTGTGGAGCCCTTCCTGGGGTGTTTTGCAGGAATGAACTATGTTAAAACCTAGGCAGAGGCAGGGCTTTAGCAGAGATGTCTGAGAGTAACTCTGAGCTGGACAGAATAAAAGAGGGTGGAGAATTCCTGAGGTGAGAAACTGAAGAATGCATCTACCCAATTTAGGTGTTTTCTAGTCATATTTATATGACTAATAAAAGATAAAATGGAACTAGTAGGGGTCCAAGTTACTGAGTTCCAGGATACCAGGAAGCTTTCGTCCACTTTATCAGTCCACAGATTGAGATGAGCAAGGTGTTCCAGTTTCACTCCTTGTTCACTTGTTTAAAACTTTCCGCATCTCGCAGTCATTAGCTCTTCCAATCAACATTAAGCATGGTGTCTTATGTAATGCATACAACACGCTTTCACACATGTCAATGTATGCAACTTGTGTTGTCCACACTATTGTCATGTCACCTTACTCCTGTTTTTCTCAATAGGGGACTTTTTAGCATGATGTTTTGTGTACTACCCTGGCCTATCCAATTCATTCGCTATACATAGTCATAAATTATTAACATTAAACTGACAAACTTTTTTTAACCTTTATCAGTTTTTCATTTTTGTATATTGTTCAATACGTGTCCTAAATTATTCATTAACCTTTATTTTTCTTATTTCAGTGGAGAAACTATGGGAAATATGACTAATTAGAGTATATTTTTATCTTTTCAAGCACAAGTTTCCAAAAGACTTTTGCTCAAAAGTTTATGATCATACTTGTAGAGCATTAAAAAGCCTTTGTCTGTAATTTTTCTTGTTGCATTTTGAGGTGCATACTTCAGTCTTTGTTTAGTTGTTCCCCAGCATTAGGTCAAACCAATCACATGGGTTTACAATACAATGGCTGCATAACATACAGTGTTTCCTCTTCAAGGTAAGAGGCAAATATCAAACATCTTGGCCTGGGTGGGGAGGATGGCCATCATATTGCTTACGTTATTTTGGAGAAATAAATGACAACCAGTCTTTGTTTTTCCTTGCTTCTCTTTATTGATTGTGTAGTTATGAGTGCGCTTATGGATTCCATGAGTTTTCCTGTTTTTATACTTTTTATCTTTGCTATTAGACACCTGGTTCATATGATTGAACAAGCTCAGAAAGAACTACAGAAATTGAGGTAAGTGCTGCCCTTTTTCATTCTTGTGTTCAAACTTTGAAGGAATTCTAACACATTCCCCAAGAACCAATCTAGAAAGGCCTCCACTCATCCCCAGGCTGCTGCCAGGGTTGTAGAGAAAAGGACCTGGTCAGGTTTTTTTTTATTTTGTGCTGAAGCAGCAGATGGTGACCTAGTCCATCTTTTCTGGACAAACTTACTACAATTCCTCCTGTTTCCAATTCAGTCAAACTGTTTCTACCTGGATTGCTAGTATAAACAGGAACTAGCAGTTGTAGGATCCTCCTTGAAGAACAACCACTGGTAACAGCGAATGCAGATCTTATCCTATTCTGATGGACTAGTGCATTCCACACAAGCAGGAACTTTTTCATTGACTATACCTTCAGGCTCAGAGCAAATTACAATAGTCCAGTCTGAAGATGACAATCTCATGAAACATTGTGTGGATCCTTGTCAAAAGGAAGGGCAAAGTTGCCAAGCAAGCCATGTTTCACCACTATTTGCTTTTTTTGGTGAGTTGAGGATTAGTTTCTGAGCTAAGGGTGACAGCTTTTTACTGGAATCTGGAAAGTGTTAAAGAACAAACTTGATATGCAGTCTGGGTATTAACAGTGACAAAAGTAAGAACCTCATCAGTGTTCTGATTTTAATACAAAATCCAAATGGGCCCTGTATATCCAGCACATCCCAGTCTGTGAATGGAGCCACTTCCCTACAAAGGAATCCGTGTAGCATTCCTGAGAATGCTGCAGTTTAGTTTAAGCATCCTGTTTTTTCTCATAATGGAGAAAACAAAACTGAGTTTTGGACTCCTTGGTTTTCCTAGTATGTTTGAATTTCATTTCATGGTATTGTATGTCCACAGTCAACTTTCTCTTTAGGCTGGAGCCTTAGATTTAGTCTCTGTGTATGCCTATGACTGATCTTCATACTTCTGGTGCTGTGCATTTGAGTATCCAAGTTCTTTGCCAATAGCTGAGTAAAGGAGGTGAGCTGCATTTCGAGCACAATAGCAAATGTTAGACTTCCTGGAGAGCAGAAAATGTGAATGCTATTGTATGGTTAAACAAGTAACATTTTCTCATAGGAAAAACATTCAAGATCTTAACTGGCAGCGAAAGAACATGCAACTCACAGCTGGATCTAAGCTACGAGAGATGGAGTCAACGTAAGTGTCTAAAAATATCCTCTAAATCTAGTCCCCAATTATGCATTTTGTACCCTGCCTTGGAGAGGGTGGCCTCTTGACAGGCTCTTGGAAACTTAGATGCCTTCACAGGATTGGCATCTGTTATCAGGGAATGCTAGTGGCAGATAATTGTTTAACTGGGTAATTCAAGCATGGCTGCTTGAAGCAGTGACTGAGTGAGAAGGGCAGAGGACACGTTCTTAATTTGAAATCATCTACAAAACTTTGTTTCTAAAACTTAGTTTTCTGCCAAAAATTGGAATGTCAGGTTTTGCACATTGGTTTAACATCAAGTAAAGAGAACAAAAGTTCCATCTCTGTCTGTTTAAATTGATTGTAGGTAATGGCTGAATTTTATCTCATGTTGAACTACTTCCTTGTTTTTAATTAATTGATTCAAAGGTGCAGCTAACTTTCTCTAATGGTAGAAACAGTTATTGCTCTGTGCAGTCTTAATTATTACTTAAACTCTGGACTTCTATATGTTCTGTTCTAGGTGGGTGTCTCTGGTCAGTAAAAACTATGAGATTGAGCGAACGATTGTGCAACTAGAAAACGAAATCTTGCAAATTAAACAGCAGCATGGGGAAGCCAACAAAGAGAACATCGAGCAAGACTTCTGAGGTCTGACCCCTGCCATTCACTGTAGCATACTTCCAACTGTTTTTAGAGAAGCCGCATGTCCTTAGGCTTGCTAATATCTATGTATGTGTAATGAGGTGAAAAAAACCATCATTAATGCTCAGTTTCTAGTTTTGGAGACTAAGGCAGAGAGAGGTAGAGCAGGTTCACGAAAAAAAATCCAGCTCTATAGACTGAATGCATGAAGTTTCCATGGGTGAATCAGTGGTTCTTGGACAGAACCATAATTGTTTTTGTGTATCTTAAACCTGAAATAAATTTTTTTAACAACATTTCTTTGGCTTCAGAAAGCTATAAACATCTGAGCATCATCAGATACTAAACCTCATGCAGGCATCTTAAGCTCCTTTTCATGAAATTTTGAAGACTTTTGTAAGAGCCATTAGAGGGCATGATATTATAGAGGCCAGAGATGGAACAAGTTCTTTCTTGGAGCAAGAATTTACTGATGACACTAGATTCGTTGCTGTGGTTACTACCTCCATGACCTTTAGAAGGAGCTTTTGGTTGTCTTTAGAAAAGCTTGTTGTTTACATTTCCTTGCATTTTTGTCTGGCAGATCGAGGGTTTGTTGCGTTGATACCATTCTTTCTCTCGTCCGAGCCTTCTATCTTTGCCAGTATACAGGCACCTGTCCATAGCTCTAGATGCATGCCATAAATCTTGCTGCAACTATCAAAATGCTGTCCAACATTTTTCAGCCATGTAGAATTTGACAGAAGGAAGTTACAAAGCTGACTAGTGACCATGCAAGAAAGCTAACAGTAATAGTTTAGTGCCATTCTGTAAGAGGAACTGGAGCATGTATTTAATCTGATAAATTTCCCTTAGGACAAAGTTATGTATAAAGCAAAAAGAGAAATATATTTGCTTCTTAACACTACAACTAAAGCCTTCTAAAGAGATTGAAATGCTTGCCACCTTTATATTTCTATCAGCCACAGACTCCAGCATAATGGCTGCATCTTTGTTTGCCACGTGGATGGTGAGGTCAAATAGAACTGTTGGAATATTGCTTTTCTGATGGAAGCCTGGTGTGATTGCTCTCCTACTGGCAGCCTGACCTTCTCTCCTGCTGGTATCCTAATGTGGTTCCCTGCTGGCTTCATCCCTTACTTACTGCTGTGTCGTGCTTCCTGTTGCCTCTTAATCTGCATGTCACCACCTTTTCTAAATACAAACATAAAATCAAGCTGCAGTGAATTAATATAAAATAGCCACGTTAACTTCAAATCTTGATTTAAGAAGCTAACAAGGTGTTCTGCTCTTTGTTTCAGCTTATCTGTCAGGAAAATGTTACCAGGTCACTGGCTGTTATGTTGCAAAAGGTAGCTGTTCTTCCCTTATGGGGATAGATACTCATCAATCTACCAGTTTTAAAATACAGAATTCACTGCCTCAGGAGAGTCTAATGCAGTCACTTCTAGAACTAATTTTTTTGATGCTTTCTCAAACTCAGGTATATGTTATGCCTTTCTGTGTCTGTTTCAGAACTAACTTTCTGGAGAACTTAGGAAGAGTGTCTTAAATTAGTCTGTTTGTCCTAGGCACTTTGATATGATGAAATGATCAGACCTTATACTAAAGTACTATGCTTCTGCTACAAAATATAACTGAAGTTTCAGATACTGTGACACTATTCTTTCCTTTTTGTCCCAATAGCCACTCTCATAGTCATTGCATACATGTTATTGCAAGTTTATCCTTTTTCTTTCCAAGCCTTTTAAAATTGGGCTTTCACAATGGCATTTTGTATGTCAGAGATCTGCTCTTGTATGGCAAATACTGCTGAAAATGATTTGTATTGAAGTGCTGCCTTGGGACCCGTTATGCTTAGCATTTAGCATTATACCAACACAACAGAAATTAGTACTTGCTTTTATTGAAGTCCTTATGCATAACTGAAATGTGCACTAATTCCTGAGTCCAGTGTCCTGTTAACTTGAGCCCTCTCCTAGAGGACCTAGACTTCTTCCTATATCTTGGGTATTTATGGATGGGAAAGGCAGACATGCAGAAGAAATGTAGGACCAGTAAGGATTCTTCAATAAGTTGGGGTGAGGGAGTGCCCATGAAGGTTTGCACTTTAGTGTGACCGTAGCTTAAATCCAAACCTCACCATTCTTTAATATAGTCTTTATCTCAATTGTGTTAATCAGCAGGGCACCCGGCAGCTTTGGCTACTCTATGAAGGAAGTAGATGATTGTCAGTATAGGAGTATAGGGAGCCCTCTTTAATAGAAACCCCCGCTACACTTCCATGCAACCATGGTCATTTGAATAGGAGCAGAGTAGCTTGGTAAGGTTTTACTCCGAGATGCATCATTTTGGGGTCTTCGCCCACTGCAAGGCCCAGCTGATTTGGTCAGAGGAATTTATATAATGTGTTGCTGGTGATGCTGTGATTTGCATGAGAAACAGAGAAGTCTCTCAAATATAAGTTTCTTACCCTATCCATAAGTATTCCACTCCTGGCTGTCCTGTGCTGTGCCAGAAGTGTCTCATCTCAGTGATGTCTATTGGAGCCATACCTGTGCCTTGACTGCCCTATTCCCCAAGGATATGAAGAAGGATCAACCATCCCCCAGTTACTTTGCCAATACAGAATCCAGGAGTTACCAGATTTTTTTTTTCTTGAATGATTGCCCATATGTTGCTCTTGGTGACTAAGGCTTTAGCTACATTCCCAATTGAACAACAAAACTTTTGTTGTCCACAGGTGCTTCAAAGAAGTCCTCCCTGGAAAAAATAAGTTTTGCTGCAGCAAATGGCAGTGTTAATGGCTTTTGTTGGCAGGAGCGCACTCCTGTAGACAACACAAACCCCGTTTGTTGGGGATAGAAGTAATTTGTTGGCAAAAGTGCTGACAAACAGCATTAATGCTGCCAGACTTTTAGCAACACCGCCAGGACACTAAAAACTGTGTGGTGTAGACAAAGCCTAGCAAACAGTGACTTGATGTGAAGGAGGATGCTTAGAATCTACGAAGCCATTGGTTATAAGAGAGCTTTGGCAAAATGGGCATCCAACCAGGAAGCCTCAGTGAGGGAATAGTGCTTTGTAAATGCACACTTTGATCCCCAAATAGGTGCCCTACAAATATCAAAAATGAAAACACCTTTCAAAGAGACCACGGGTACTGCCTGCACCCTAGTCAAATGGTCTCTTCCTTGATGTCATAGGTAACTTTCTAAAATAGCTAGTAGTGGGATTTTCTCTGAGACCTTTCCATATAACTAATCTAGACACCTGATCCAGTTCTGGAAGAATACTTCATCTAATTCCGTAGGATCTAAAATAACTCATATTACTTTGTTAGGCACCTAACAGTTCATTGCCCATGCTGACCCAGGTGCTGGTGCTATGAGTGGAGATACAGAATGAACCATAACCTCAATTCATATCACACATGACACAGTTTATATACATATGTCCTAGCTACTTATATAACTACTTTTTGCATGTGAAGACCAATCAGTTAAGTGTGGTCCTGCCTACTTGGTTTACTATAAACACATCTGCAAGAGTTAATTTAGTTTCTCTCTTCCTGTATTTACTATAAACTTTCACAATAGCTGGTGATGCCAGCAGTCACTTGTTTGGGCTTGTTCTGCAAGAACTTGTTCTGGCTTGTCTTGTCTTGTCTTGTCTTGGGCTTGTTCGTGTCACCTAGTTAGCCCTATAGCAAGCTGGTAACATAGTTTAATCCAATCAGAGACCCATTTTGAAAGCCTTTGGGATGATGTAGCTTGACCCTTAACCCTATCTGCGAAAGCAATAAACAGTCTAGAAGAAGAGACCCTGACTGTTTTTATATTAAGGTAAGTGGGGAGAGTTCTGAGTACATCTAAGGTGTGAAACCTCACATCCCCTTGTTTGGTGTCTGGCTTAGGTAAGAGAGTAACCTGACTTTGAAGTCAGAGCTCACATTAGGTAAAAATTCCCAATGGGGTCCTATGGAAGACAGTGTATGGTGGGTCTGCCAAAATGCCTGTACTTTTCCTACCATTTGGGCTGACCGTGCTTGCCACTAAAAAGGCTGCATCTCTTAACAATTTGAGATCTCAGGCAGGAACAGGATTCTTGGACTTAAGGATATTCATCAACTAGTCCTGAACCTACTGCCAGGAGAATATCCTTTGACAATGAATCAGAGAACAATGTGCTCATATTCCTGCCAAGGGCACTCTGACAGAAATAACTGCCCAGTGCTGTTTAAAGATAAAAAATAATAAAGAAGAAAAAAGGGGTTGGGGATTCTGTTTCCAAGGAAGAAACATGAAACTGCTGCATTCAGATTTAAATCTTTTCCACTTAGCTGCAGGTGTGTCTTGTGCAATCTTTTCTACTTTGAGAGTGAACACTGAAAGCAGAGCAGCTTTTGTTCACTGTGGTTAACCAGCCAGCATCCATGCTGTGAGATACTGTGGGAATGGGTATGGATGAAGAACGTGTCTGTTCTGGGTACTAGTGGATAGTGATCTTTTTAGGCTATGTCTACATTGCGCATTCTTGTGCAAGAAGATATGCAAATGAGGTGTGGTGATGAATATTGCCATGCCTCATTTGCATACCTAATGAGCCGCCACTTAGTTCATGGGGCTTTTGTGCAAGAGCTGTTCTGCCGCTTATTTTCAGAATGAACAATGTAGACATAGCCTTAGAGTGCTGGTCCATGTACATTCCAATTGTTTGTTTGTGTGCGCGTGCATGCACAGAAACCAGAAGATTTTTGCCTGGTAGCATCCATTGGATTAGTCTGAGTGTCCTCTGGAATGCTACCATTATGGTGGCTAATATATAGCCTTGCTAACCCACCAATCCCCCAGTTCGTTATTACTGCCTGGTGATGGCAGCTGGATTGTCTCGCTTTTGCAAATGCAAGTACTCCTAATTGTATCTTAGTGTAAATAGTTATTAATTATTAGTTAAATTTATTAGAAGTTAAAACTGTGCTAGGAAGTAATTCTCCCTTCCCCTCTTTTCCCCCATACCAGGGTGCACGCCTCATTCTCCAGGGTTTTAATCTTGCCAGGCTTGCAGCAGTCTTATGCCCAAAAGTGACTCTACACATGTTTGAAGAGTTTGGGTGAGGGTCACCAGAAAGAAGGTGCTGCCTTTGCAAGAATTTCCTGCCACGAACCCTTAAGGATCATGAGGAGAGACTCAGGTTACCACTTAGGGAGGGTGCACTTGTCCAAGAGGCTTGTTAGAACATAAGAACAGCAATACTGGGTCAGATCAAAGGTCCATCCAGCCCAGTACCCTGTCT